AAATTATACTGTATACATATATATATATATATATATATATATATATATATATTCTTAATATATGTATGTCAATTACATATGGAGTAATGGAACCAAAGTCATTTCCCCCTGGGATTATTAAAGTATGTCTGATTACAAACTCGCTTCTCTTCCTCCGTTTCATGGCTCTCTTGTCCCTGCCTGTGCCGCCGTGTCTTCATCCCCAGAGTCACAGTCCTGGTTGGAGCTGCTGTAAATCAGCTGGCCTCCGTTGCTATTTGAGGCTGTGAACCCGTTGCTCGCGCGCCCCACTCTAGTTCTGTTGCTCATACCGTCCTGCTCCTTGGAAGTATTCCTCACAGCTATGCTAGTAGGCTAGTCAAATTCCCAGTCTGGGTACAGTTGGCTAATAGGACCACTAAGTAGCTAGTGGCCCTAAAGCCCTAAACAGATAGGTGGTTGAGTTGATGATGGTATTTCAAAAAGTCAAAATCAGCTTGAAACGTCAACAATGTGTGTTTCATTCTGACTTTGGAACACATTTGGTTGGGAAGTTGATCAAATGTGATGGTTGGCAATTCAGTCCAAGAGTGATTCTTATTCATTTGATTCATGTGTGTGAATTATCAATAGTTTTGGAATTAAAGTGATAAAAAAGTGGGTGCCTCTCTAGACAGTAGGACTGAACTCCACTCTGAATTTTGTCAGTGTTTGTCAGTTTCACTGTTCAATATAATGGTGGGACAATTTGTTCCTCGCCACACTAAAGTCCTATATCAGCAGTTCCTGTGGTGTAAATGTGGCTACAAGTCTCACATCTTACCCCACTTCACGTTTTGATTGCCTTTCTTTGTCATCTGTGATGTGAAAAACACAGTTTAGCTGACTTCACTGACAGTCACTTTTGTGGTTTGTGCTCATTTTGAGACTCTGTAACGTTTACAGCCTGCCATGCTGTCACCCTGTGTACAGTAACACAGCTAAAAAACAAAAGTGCACAGATTCTGCTGACATAATGCAAGTTGACCGGGGGTCTTCTTGACTGAGAAGACAGATTTGAAAAAATAATGGTCAAAATTGAGGTATCCTGTCTTTTTGTCCCTAGTGTGGATTAAGCCCCAAAACACTAAATCCTATATTTTCCCTTACACTCATGACATGGTCAGGGTTATTTCACCAGGCGTAACAGAGAAGACATGATACAACTGTTTTCACAGGCTGAGTAGTACTCCTAATGAATAGTAAACTGATAAAATTGTGTAAAATTTGTGGAGCGCCCCTTTAAATTCACTAATTACTTCCATACTAACTACTTCTCAAAAGTGCTTAACCACCAAATTAAAATCAGTGTAAATAAACCTTAGAGAGGATATGGTTACATCTCAAACACCAATGCAACAACAGTAATGCCAGAAGGGTTAGCAGAACTTTCTGTGTTCTCAAAAGTTAATGCGTCAGTGGAAATGGAAATGAGGTTGATCAATAGTGTTTTTCTAGTACTTAAGTGCAGTTTTTCAAGTTTGCACACTGCAAAATGTGGTCTGCCAGGCTTGTCTTCAGTACAGTGACCCTTGAAACAGAGCAGCTGAAAGCTAAAATGTTGTCCACTTTTTCTTTAAAGAGGTATCCAGTATAGTATTATTTTTCTATTGTAGAAGCACCAGACTGGAGTCTCTCTACCTTGATCCCATACACTGACAGTCCCGCCCCCCCCACACACACACTGGACTGCTTATCTTATTCCCGCCACAAAATGGGTGTATAAATGTAAGAAATACCAAATTGTTATTTTTGTATTGGCATTGGTGCATCTGTTGGCATATTGTATTCAATATAAGCATTCATTGCAACCCTAAACCAAACTGCAGCACTCATCTATAATTAATAATCATGCTATTGTTATATTGACGAGTTGGGCAAAGTCGGGCTTAACTTTTCAATACCAGCATTCAGAAAGTGTGATACAGTGACAAGACTTTGGACATTGTATAAATAACTATACGTTCTTCAGTGTAATGTTTCAAATGTTGTTCTTTTTTTCAGGCTCACCTCTTCTCCTCTTCGCCAACCGGCGTGATGTACGATTGGTAGATGCAGAGGGTGTGCGGGGTGAGTCGGCCATTGTTGTTAGTGACCTGGAGGATGCAGCGGCAGTGGACTTCCTGTACGCTGAGGGCCTGATATTTTGGACAGATGTCAGTGAGGAGGCCATCAAACAGACGCACTGGAATCAGTCATCCAACTGTAAGACTGCATACTGTTTCCTGTGCGCTTATTATGCTGCTTAGTGAAGATTTCCTCATTAAGACCAACAATAACTGTGGCGTTTTAATGCTGATGTTAAGTAGTTTAATGAAGAATACACCCTCCTTCTTGTCACTGTTTCACACTCTGTATGTTTTCTGGTTGCAGCCCTTAAAGAGGCGCTGGGGACTGGCCAGACTGTGGTGGTATCAGGGCTGGACAGTCCTGACGGGCTGGCCTGTGACTGGTTGGGTAGAAAACTCTACTGGACGGACTCTGAGACCAATCGGATCGAAGTGGCCAACCTGGACGGCACCTCCAGGAAGGTCCTGTTTTGGATGGACTTGGACCAGCCCAGGGCTATCGCTCTCAACCCTGCTCAACGGTGACATACACACACTCTTCAGAGTACTCTTTAGAGCATAATGTAGTTTAAATGTTAATGAGTTATTGTAAAGGTGTGTTCAGTTAGAAAAGAATTGTTCTGAATTCACAACAGAGGGCAGATGTGGGGGCCATGAAAGTGTCCATCTGTTGAATCCATAGAGACCTTTGTTATGGTGTCACTGCTCTCAGAAGCAGAGAGAACAGTGACTGAACTAAAGCTATTTTTCCACTTCATGGTTCCGCTCGATTGGACTTACTTTTGGAACCTCTACATCGCTTTCTACTGTAGATAGTACTTTGGATTGTACCCCCTCATTGTAGCCTAGTGACGCAGTTGGGAAACAACCAGGAAACATTGCTTTGAGAAGCCAACCTATGTACATTTACAGCCCGATTCACAACTTCACTGCTCTCTTTTCCTCTGCACCGCTCGCATTTACCGCTCTCCCTCTCATTCACTCATCCACACACTAACTGCTCTACTCTTATAAAAGAGGATATGATGGGATGGTGTTCCTGATATGGCTATGGATATGGATATGAATTCAGTTGACCACGGTAGGGTTTTGCTACCAATTTGAGGGAATAAAAAATGGTCTTTACTATTGATGGTAGCTTGGCTATTTAATAATTCAGGGTTTGTGCAGGATGTCCCATGTCTGCAGTGTTTTAATGTCACCTTTCAGTAGCAGCTCAGATTGTTCGGAACCTCGACTGCAGTGGTACCAAAAAAAGTACCGGGTACCAGGCACTATCCATAGTGGAAAACCAAAAAAGAGCGAGTAGAGTAGAGTTGAGTTTAGCCGTGCCATCTGGTGGAAAAGCAGCTAAAATGTCTGAAGTTACTAACATCAGAAATTCAATAGACAAGTATACAGGATGAAGACAGCATAGTCTGTGTTTTTAAAGGACTAGTGTGTAGGATTTAGTGCCTTCTAGCAAGGTAGTTGCAGATTGCCGCAGACACCCTCACTTCACCCTCCCCTTCCAAGTTTGAAGAAGAAACGAAAGAAAAAAAAAGAAAAGAAAATGAGATACAAAGAGCGAATGCAGTGAATAGAAAAGATGGTGGAATAGAGGGCCTGCTCTGCACAGTTTCCTCACTCTGTGGTTGGACCTCACACTGACCTCCCTTCTCCCTTACACACAACTTGTTGGATCAGCAAAGCCTGAGCTCCTCAGACGATGGATTTACTTGTTGGTTGATTCAGTCCTGTTAGTTTACAGTTAGTGGAAAAGAGCACTTCTGCTAATTGCCTTAAATGGTGTTTGACTTTGTTATGTGAAACTGCCTGGGTTGTTATTTAACTCAAGTGACTGATGATTGTATTTTATCAGTTTTGATGATGGTTGGAGTACAGAGGTGTTTTATTAACTTCACTACACTGAAACCAGAGGTTCAGTGAGTCCACTGACCTCCTTAGTTCAGGCTAAATGCACTGAATCCTTTTCTTCAACACTCTTTTTCTCCTGCATGGCTTAAGCATTATGGGTCTACCATACTGTAAACAGAGTTCTTGAACAGCACGAATACCGTGTCAGCTCCAGGAACAGTCAGATTGCAAATATATTCAGCTAACACTTATATAGTTTAGTATAACAACAGGGTGTGTCTGTGTTTGGAGTTGCTGATATATCTGAACCTCGGTGGGTGCAGGGCAGGCGGCAGAAAATAGGAAAGATGAAAATACACTGGCAGCAGGGGACATTAAGATAGCTGATTTGATTATGTTTACAAGTACACAAGAAACCAGGTTAGTGCCAATTTGTCTAAATGTAACAACGGGTCTACTGATCAGCTGTGAGACCAGACAGGTTTAAATATTGTGAAAACAACTAATGATCTTTGCTCTCATCCTGGTGCGCTGCTTTATATCTGTACATGTATTCACCTGCACTGTTGTAAAACCCTCATAAATGAAGAAGTTAGGTTAGAGATTAGAGATAAGAGATAGTTCTTTTTTGCAACCTGGGCGTTTTATTTTGATAGTGTCTAACATTCCTGCTGTGTCTGATAACATGTTACTCACCAGGGCAGCAATTTTACAATACACGCCTTTACAAAGATTCCTTTATATAGGCCAAGAACACAAGCTCTCTGACATGTTGTTGATACTGTACAGTTCAGAAACTACACCGCTTGCCTGAAAGTAGGGCTAGCACAATAAAATGGTTATTTTTAAGTTGATATTGATAATTATTGATGCATGAATTTAGCAAAAACCAGGTGGAAAAGAGGTTGAATTTAACTGCGTTATGTATCAAGGCACAGGTAATAATTTTATTGTTAATGTTTTGTCATACACTATTGCTGCTTAGTACCTCTCCAGGGCCAGGGCATATTCACTATGTGCTTTCATGTCAGGGTATAAGAAAATATACACTTGAGTATTACAATATTTGGTTTTGTGATATTGTATTGATTCTCAAAAAACCTGGTATCGATTTTTGCATTTAAACTCCCAACTGCTAGACAGTGTTGTAAATGTAAACTGAGATGAATACAAATGCAGATCGCATGGTTCTGGTTGCATAGAAAAGTAAAAAAAAAAAAAAAAAAAAAAAGTAATGTAATGTAACTCTATGAGACGACACACAAGAGTGACGGAGAGCCTCTCACTCACCACGCCACTGCAAGTGCAACAACAGCTGCACGAAGAAAAAAGCAAATAAGAGTAATTTATTAAAGTACTGCGTGCAAAAGACATGCAGACGATGAAAATAAACATTCAGCAGAATCCAGTTCATTCAGGTAACTCAGGTGTGGAAGTCAGAAGGTATTGAGAGATGTTGTTGGTTTTGATCTTGACAATAGGCCAAATATAGACAACCCCAGACTGCCTGATTGATTGGCTAAATGGGATCAAATTGCCTAAGTCATTTTAAAATCATCTTTCAAGCAAGGTCAGTACACTTTGTTGCTCTGATTTAACTAACCCTAGTTTATTTCAAACAGAATTAAGTGATGCTTAGTCAGTTTAACTAGGGATGGGACGATATACAATTTATCATGTATCGTGATATGTAATAAATGTATGTGTTTAACTAGATGTAATGTAAAGTGATTTCAGTATGTTTTAGTGCCATTTGTATATAAAAATATATAAGTATATTCTCATGATTATCGTGATAATATTGTGTATTGCAATTATTTTGGCCAAGATAAGATGTAACATGACATTTTCACATCGTCCTATGTCTGAGGGGTGCCCTAGCAGCTCACCTGGTGGAGCTGGCATTCCATGTATTGAGGTTAAGTCCTCCAAGCCCCATAAATATATTAAAAAAGTCAGTTCTATTGAACTCAACTTCAATTCCAGAATATCTTTGAAATAGTTCCATTCATTTTATAGTCCACTCTTGCATTGTAGAAATTGCAGAAGCATGTACATTCCCATTCACACAAATAAAACCACACCAAAAACACAGAAAGAAAAAGCTTCTACTTCCATTTCATTTTTTCCTTTCTGGTTTCCTGCTCTGTAACTGTCGTTTCTAAGGAATGCAGATCTGTCTGTCATTCCAAAACAGTAGCTAAACACACATAACTCCCTGTGTGTGTATCTAGCTCTATCTCTCACATACACACACTGTCATAGCATTTAATAAGTAGCAATCAAACCAATAACTATTGGTTGTGTGACAGGCTGATTTATTGTCCTTTATTTTACTGTGAACTCAACCAGAGCAGAGCTAATTTTACTGTAGATATGATTTATGTTATGGAAACAGCACATCTTTAGTACAATTGCAACTTACCGGTATATTCCTTCTCTGTTATTTTTTGTTATTTTTCTCATTAAATGCATAATACTTTATATTTTGAGTATTTATTTTATAAGTAAGTTTATTTTTGTAGATTTATGCAGATTTGAATGAATATCTACTCCCCTAACAAAGCAAGGAAATGGAAGATAGTAAAATGGAGAAAAATAATGTAATTAAAATGACTGAAATCACCCAGGTAGTGAACTGTAATTATTGGACACATAAAAGTTTATATATATGAAATTCACTTCCCACTAGACCAAATCCAGTGACAAAACCAGTCATTTTTCCTAGCAGATAATCATAAAACATTCTTCAGACTGGATGGAAATAAAATAAAACTCACCAAAACAGTCTTTGTTAATCTTTCTACTGTTCCAACAATAACTTAAAATAATTAAAATAAAATAATTCCTCAATTCACTGAGTTAGATGAGAAAATACCTTCCAAACAGGTGGCTATGGATGTCATTAGTGTTAGATAATCCTTTAGAACAAATGCATCAGTTAAAGTCCACTAAACGTTGTTGTTGTTGCCACTGACAGGCTCAGATTGTTATTCTAAGTGTCTGACAACATATTACTATCGTTTGCCACTAGGCTCCATGGAAAGAAATCTGCAATTTTACCTTGCATTGTAACTTCATTCAAAGTGGACAGAAACAAAACAAAACTCACCCAAACTGTCTTTGTTGTCTTTCCACTGTTCCAACAATCACCAACTCTTTGGTTGAAACCATTTATCACCGATGTAGATGATAAACAGCAGCTTCAGTCCCTCTACTCAGCTGCACACGGAGCAGACCGGCTATGTAAACAAACCACAGAGATGCTGCGATAGCAACACATGCAGAGGGAGTGTGACACCATGACTCCACTATATATTTACATAGCTAATAGCTGTTTCCTGCTATATTAATGTTTTAAATCTCATATAACCCTTAAAAAGTCTGTGCAATGCCTTTTAACCTTTGTATTCTCCTGTCTCATATTTTAAACTGTTTCAAATGCAGACAATGAAGTATTAAATATTTTTAAAAATCATCAACGTTTCTTGTTTGCATTTTACCTCTTTGAATTGGCAGTTTCCATGGCTGAGTGTGTGATAAATGTTTTTCATGTGATGTTGGCCTTTGAAGGCTTTTAAAATCCTAACTGTATATTTCGACAAATGAATTGCTTCGTAGTTATATTAAAAATCCACATGTAAGATGTGTGTGGAAAGCGGGGGACTTTTACACAAGACACAGGCAGAAATAATAGAATGGGCACTGTGACTGACATCATGACAGCTTAAATGGCACCTTGTGCTGCTTCAGTAACACCCATGAAGTGTGTGTGGGTGTGTGTAAGAGTGAGTGTGCATGTATTCTCTGCATGTACCAGTGTGTCCATGCTTGGATTTTTTATGTGTAAGCTTGTGTGATCTTGCGTCTTTGATGTGTGTGTGTGTCTACTAAAATATTTTTTTCCTTTCGGAAAAAAGTTGTGTAATTTTTGACACATTGAAAAGCTTCAAGAGAGAAAATGGACGACCAATTAAACGACAGCACAGCTCGACTTGTGCAGACATTATCCCAGACGGAGTCATCAGGAAGACTGAGCTTCTTTTATAATAAAATTATTACTATTAGAGACAAAATTAATCACCAAATGCCCTCAACAGGTATCACTGTCTCTCCAAGTTCAGGAACTTTAACAAATGTAAAATCAGATATATATTTAGACTGTTTTTCTGCTATCGATCTTCATCAGTTAACTTCAATAATTTCTACATCGAAGCCATCAACCTGTCT